TTGTCTTGGATCCTGTGAAAGAGAAGAAGAGGAAGAAGGCCAAATGGTGTTTGACCAACAATCTTCCAGACCCATGCACTAAAAGAGTATCCCAACAGAGTCTGCCCTTGAAATCAAACATTGTCCATGGGGGGGTTGCAGCTTTCAAGGCCTTCTTCAAACCTGGACAGGTGACTGCCATGACCTTTGGCACAGAAGTTCCCCTTGAGAAACTTCGGCTCAACAAAAACATTTTGATCTTGTGGCGGATGAGGCCTGGGGTTTGTGCAGGGTTGACACTGTGCCGATTTAGACATAATCACCCATGGCCGTGACCCCAAAGTTTGGCTTTCAGTTTTCTGTTGCATAGCATAGAACGCCTTAACATGGAGTCGCAATACCAAGTTACCATGTGCAATAGATATTTCGGCCCCTTCAGGTTGCACATTGAGAAGGGAACCGCCCGAACACTCGTGCCAGTACGACCAGTTGCTATCCTTGCTGGGGGAGTGAGCTTGAAAAGCAAGCGAGTGCTCCAGCTAGTGTGAAAATATCTAGCCACAACTCTTGGGGTGCTGATGCAATTTCCGAATTGTGTGGGTATGAGGAGGAACCTCACAGTGGTGATGATGATATGTTAAAATGCTGGTGCCAGCAAATCAGATTTGTTTGACTGCCTAAATGTTCCCATTTGTGGGGCCGCTTCTCAATTTTAGAGGTGGAGTTGAGGGCAAACATCGAGTGCACTCTGTGAAACCTGGCATTCGGTGCAAACCCTGCGTTGACTTTCAAAAGTGGCCAAAAAGCAAACAGCAAACCATGTGTGCCTATGGTTTGGGCTTTGCAAAACATTGTGGAAGTCAAACCTAGCCTATAATTGTCAACTTTCTGCATGCTGCCCAGTCTTGGCCCTAACTTGTTTCCTGGGGTATAGGAACAGGATTGCTCCATGATGCATTTTGCACCGAAGTTCAACCCCAATGAGTTTATGGAACTCATTGACTCCCAGATTCCTGTGGAGACCCCTCCTGCGGCAGCGTCTGCGGGCACAGGGGCCTCAACCTCGGCAACAGGACAGCTTTATGTAAAGTGGGATCAAATGGCGGTTGATTGTTTTCCACTGACATCAATTTCAGCACAATCTAGCATTTAATGGTGGATTGCTCTCCCTTAGTTCTTAGTCACATTCATTATCTAGATGCTGCAGGATCTGGTGGTGGCAACTTGCTTCAGAGGGTTGAGATGTCTGGATCCAGCTCATCACCGGATGGAAGGGAACCTGAGGAATCCAAAAAGAGTGCTCAGGCGAAAGCAAAAACCAAGGCACTTCAGAAAGTGACCGGTGAACCACAAGTGAAGAAAAAGAAATCCAAGAAACACAAGGATGATGACGAGGAGGATGATTGGGGCTGTCTTGATGACAATGAGCCCATTGAAGACAAGGACGATGAACCTGACATTGAAGACCCAGGGGATGGCATTGATGTCAGACCCAAGAAGACACCTGCAAAACGTCCAAGCACAAAAGAAAAAAGAAGAAGACAGACCGTAAGGAACACAAGAAGTCCACCAAGACCCGCAAGCGTGCCGATGGCATGTCTGGTGAAGAGTCTGAAGATTCTGTGAGCAAAGCGATCCGTATGGCAGACTTTGCAGAACGCGCTGCTCACCCAATGCTTCAGGTTGAATCCTCCCAGGAAACCAACTTTGAAGCACTGCTTCCACCAAATTGGTTGCAAGATGTGGATTACCAGGCTGGCCCCAATCATTTTAGTGTAATACTTTAACCAACTGCTAAGTTCATTCAAGTATGGGATGTGCTTTTTTTGCTTGTTTGCGAGGACCTCTTCTCACACCATGAGCGCGCCGGGGAATTCTGGGATCAGCGCCAGAGGTCCATGAGTTTCATGGAACCAACTGCACTATTGGACCATTTTGACCAGGCCCTTTCACTTCCTGACACACCAAACCTGTCGTCCAATTGTGCTCCTTCTTGGAAGCTGGCTCAAGGTGGATGAAGATCATGTCAAGGGCGAACGAACTCAGGCCTTGCGCTCAGTGCAGCCCAACTGCCCAACAACAGAATAGAATGTTTCAAAACATATGAACTCAAAAATACAAGTTTCTGGATGAAATCAAAAAGAATGCAGCGTCTTATAAGGAGGCCGCCACTGAACTGAAAAGCCATGGTGAGGACAATGTGTTCGTTGTTTGTTTTTAAAACTCTTAGCAACTTTTCTGCCTGTGAAGGATGGCAATTGCCCTGAAACTGAGAGGGACATCCTCAGCCAAACCACATTGAGGTTGGGTGAGGACTGGTCACCTGCTTCAAAGGGTAGGTGCAGGTTTGTGGTGGGCGTTCTGTTTTGGTGTCTTCTCAGGAAGGGCGAGATCACTCTCCACCGCCGAAGGACAACAGTTTCTGAACTTGCACCCTTAGCTGCATGCTGTCTTTGGATGGCAGGACCCTGTGGTGTCCCCCAAGCCCAGTGATGAAATTGATCCATTCAACGACGTACAGGACCACGTGCGCAAACTTGTTCAATGCGAGTTTGCAGGGTGATGTGATTTGATTTATCCTCAATGTTTCAACCTCTAAAACGACAAGTAACTTACAAGTTACCCATGTTTCTTTTACTGTATTGGGGATGCTGAAGAAAGCCACAGGAAAGCAACATTCAGGAAGTAGTTGTGTACTGGTTTGGTTTAAGGTGTTATGCTCTGAGCTTTGCTCCTACTATTGGGTGCGTTGAGGGTTGGAAACTGTTTGTGCAACACCATTGACAAACACTCTTGTAGGACACTCTTGCAGGAGACAGTCTTGGGATACTCTTCTGGAAAATTATTGAGGGATACTCTTTGTGCAACACTCTTTCTTGTGCGACAGACATTCTTGTGGGACACCCTTGTAGGACTCTTGTAGGAGACACTTGTGGGACGCTAGTGGCTATAATATGGAAAGCATTGGGGCTAGTCTTTCAAGCCACTGGTGAAACGATAAGACCCTTACCCACCCCTCTCAACATGGGAAACATGGCTGAAATCATTTACCATTTACACCACTCCTTTGCCCCTCCTCAGCCCAAATGCCCACTGTCTTAAAGACAAGGCTTTCTTGTCCAGCAGTAGAGCATGGTTGAACGAAACAACTATAGAATGCTCACCTCTTCCACTCACCTGGTGCGCAGGACCAAAATGTCAAGATGAGGGATGAGGCCTGCGAGGCCTGCCACTTCTCCCCCTGCCACTTCTTCCCCTGCCACTTCTTCCCCTGCAAGCGGCGCAGGCTGGCCTTTGTCTGAGCCAGCCAGAGTTTGAAGATGGAGCTTCAACCTGAGTGCAGTGCGGTACTTCTACTTCTAAATTCTGCTTCTATCTACTGCAAGTTTGTTGGACTCCCTCAGGCCACAAAAGATTGTGAAGTTGAGGGCTTGCCAGATGACAAGGCCATATATCCTATGTTGGTGCCCTAGGTTTCTATTTGTATTCGAAGGTTCTATGCACTGGCTATAGTCAAAAGAACCATCCACTTCCTATAGAACTTACTGTTTGCAGGATGGAGTAGTTTCTGTCCATTCTCGGTCGCCCAGCCCATCAGCTGGCAAGCCATCAGCTCGCAAGGACCATTGTGCGCTCGCGATTCAAGCGGCAGAAGTTGGAACATGTGCCCCTGTAAAGGATCTTTAAGTGTGCTTGATCTTAGCTGCTCAGGAAGGTGGCTCCAATGTTCCTGGTGCCAGTGTGGAAGAGTCAATGGCTCAGTTCATTGTCGCCCATAACATATGCTCCTGAAAAATGCAACAAAGTTTCCACATTGGAACACCTGCAACCAAGCAGCAGTCACAAAAGCTTAGTAAGTTAGCTGCAGTTGTGCGCATCGAGTGTGGAAGGACCATATTATGTGGACTATTGTGAGCTGTGTGGGTAACTGTGTGGCAGAGTTGCCAACTTTACAGTTTTTCATGTTTTTCTGAATTTGGCTAAGCCATGAATTGATTGCTGAGGATTCGGGCAGTCGCAAGACCATCTGTGCGCATCGCTATTTCACAAGGTGGTGGTGTGAAGACATCGCCCACACTGATGGAAGCCAGGTCAAAGACCAGGGCAAAACCGAAGGCCAAGTGTTCAGCGAAGGCCAAGAGTGCCCCAAAGGCCAAGAGTTCCCCAAAGGCCAAGAGTTCTCCAAAGGCCAAGAGTTCCCCAAAGGCCAAGAGTTCTCCAAAGGCCAAGAGTGCCCCAAAGGCCAAGAGTGCCCCAAAGGCCAAGAGTTCACCCAAGAAATTGAAATGTTCTTGGAACTGTGTTTACAGCCGCGTTTATAGGCAGCAAAAGAAGCTGGGCCTCCCTATGGATGAGGTTTGTAAAGCTGCTCGAGAGGCAGCGTGGGCGGCATTGAATAGCTCTTAGATCATGGTATCTGACAGAGATTTGTGGGGGTTGGGAAAAAGAGTGAGTGCCTTGTGTGTGGAGGGTTGGGGAACGGTTGGAGAAGAGTCAAGAACATGCATGGACCCCAAAACCAAGTGTTGATTGCTTTTGGTTCCAGTGCTGGTTTGCATGAGTGGATCTTTTGTCCAAAATAGAGGTCAGACTCAGGTTCTAGGTATATATATTATACATGTTGGGATATATTATGATATATTGGGTGAAGACCTCTTGTCTTGATCTGGCCCATTCGGGATCCCATGTGAAGCATCCGATCAACCTCCAAGGCATACTATATGGCATACTGCAAAGCATTCGGTATTGGAACACATTTGTCGTCGTAGTGGCGCAAGTCTTTGTTCACTCAAAGTCAGCAAGACTATCCTCTCCGTGGCTGCCCGCCCAAACAAAAACCAGTGACATGCATCCCCATTAACATTCAATTGGAGGGGTTGTGTCAGGCACTTGGTAGATATCATTTTGACCAAAACTGCTAAAAGGAATTGTTAAGGGAGATGTCTGGCGGCAACAGTCCCAAAAAGTGTTCACATCAACGTCATCCGCCAACGTCAGCAGCCTCCAACGGCCCAGGCTGCCTTTCCCACCACGCGCGAGACGTCTGGCTCTGGTATGTATCCAGCTTCTCGTGGGTCGCCACGACCACGTGCCTGGCAAGCGAAAATGAATGAAACTAGGGAGATGCCTGGTCAAAGGCATAGGGGACGTTCCGGGTTCGCTGGACAAAATGAGTTGGTTGTCTAAGTCTATGGTTTGGCATTTTGTTTCTTAATTCTATACTACCTGTACCCTTTCACCGGAGAGTCTGTGACCGACCATGCGCTTCCACCTGCAACGCTAGCCAGATTTCATAGCATAAGAGCAGCATGAGCACCACCTTGGTCCTTGGTCTTGCTCTTGCTTCAAGTCTTTCAATTTGTGTCTCAGGCCTCGACTCCTTCTGCACAAAAATCAAACAGCCATGGTGTATGTTTGGCATGTTAAGTATTCATGCCGCGATTGTTTGTGCTTTTCACATGCCTTTCCAGCCTCAGTTGTATCCTTGTTTTTTCTTCGCAGTCCTGTATGTCAAAACCTGGCTCTTAAATAAGCACATCATGGCTCTCAGATCACTTGACTGATCCCTGAGTAGACTTAGACCCTACCTGCATTCCGTGGGCCTGGGGCAAGCCAACGGTCTACCCCTTGGGCCTTGGACCAAGCATGACCAAGCCCTTTCGAAGGGTGCCCAAAGCAGCCCCTCTTGCTCAAGGAGACACACCCGTTCTTGAAACCTCGAAATATTCCTGGACCTAGAGTACTAGAGGGTTAACTGAGTTGCCTGAGATTGTTGGTGGCTTGGATTGAAGGAAACATCCCAAACCAACTCAAATCAGCAAGTAACCCCACAGAGTTCTTGTCCATCGTGACGTTCCCCTGCTAGACGAACTGGTAGTCATGTACATGTATAACTACACAGAAGTCACATGAATATACATGAATTAAGAACATTAATGGATGCGCTCACTTGCGGTCCTCGCTCCCACAAACCCCCCCTTTCCGAGATTTCCCGGCGGGGTTGGGTGGGCATGTCGCCCGTGACACCACTGACCTAGCTAGGTAGTCCAACTATACTGTCTGTACACTACGAGCTACGAAGGCATGCTGTGGACAAGGTCGTAGATATCGGCAGGCGAATGTAAGCGTAATTAATGAATGCAGGTTCAAGAATTAAGGAACTAATTTGGACCAGGAAACTGAATATCATCGAAGTTTTTCTTCCTAAACATGTAGTAACGGACATGTTGCGTGAACTTGTCACGTTTAGCGGGATGGATTTCGACGTGGTCTGGCCATGCCACCTGTTCGGTGGATGTAGGCAGGTCGATTGGCGGTATTTCGTTGTGAAATGGTGGATCATGCGAAATTTGCAGGATGAGCTCATGTAGATACTTATAAGTGGCTTCAGCATTTGGTAAATGTGGTCTACGCGACACCCCTGATTCGTGGTACGCTGAAAAACCTAGTCTTGTCAAGCTGGCTGTACCCTGCTTTTTGTAAACAGGAAAAATTCGTGTACGTGAAAATGTTTGCAAATGTTTCACGATCAATCTGAAATTTTCGGCCATGACTCTAAGAGATCTTTTCTTGACTGGCTGCATCTGGACTTTATGGTGTGCATATTCCATGGCCTGCGAATAGCCAACTTCCTGGATCTTGATGGGGAGAATTCTCCCAGCCCATAGCATAAAAGAGATGGCTAGTTCTGTCCATGATATGCCTGGATCCTGTGGCGCCGGTGTCGCGGAGGGATCGGGCCAGCGTAGTTGTAGACTGAATTGCCAGACTAATTTTGCCCAGTTGATACCCCATGAACATGCCCAAAAGACAACAGGGTGCGGTTCCGGAGGGTGGGGAAAGAGTGGTTCTTGTACATGCCACTGTACTAGCTTTTGTATGTGTGTCTGTAACTGGTGGTGGCTTCTTCCTGATTGTTCCTGATTGAGGTGCTGGCTCGTCGAGGCATGAGGCATGCTAGCAGTGTCCTCGATCTTGTGCATGCGTGTTTGTGCTATATCGAGCAGGTAGTCGAGGAGCTTAGTAAACATGTGTTTTTGTTTCTGGTAGTGTTGTCGAACTGTATGGCATAATTCGTCAAATTCTGGCAAATCTTGTTTACGTACTTTTCCTGCGGCCTGATCAGCTAAGTCATTGCCGTAAATGTCATATAATTGTTTCTGGTTGGTGGCGTGTTCAAGTTGTTGGTGAGATTTGATCTTGTATGCCACGAATCGAAGTGGATCCCAAACTGAAATTAGTCGGCCTATGAGATCCCAGTGGTCTCGTTTATGGGGAGATTGTTCAATACGGCCGTCTTCAATATCTCTGATTATATTGAGGGAGAATTGTGAGTCTGTACAGAAGAAGATGGTGGCTTCGTCTGATGCTTTATGAGCTTCCTCTGCAGCAACAAGGATGGCGTACAACTCTGCGCGATTTATGGTCTGTGCTCCCGGGCAATGGCCTGTGGCTAATACTGTAAATTTTCTGGCTGGCATATCTTCACTGGGTGGATCACAGGTTATGGCTGCCCAGGCAGCGCGTGCTGCGTATGGGTCTCTAGGGTCATCACAGGATCCATCAGTGTAAATAGTGGTTCCATGATTAATGTGACAGTTTATGTTTGTATGGTATGTGTGTACCCGCAAGTACATTGATTGTCGAACAAGTTCCATCTCTTCGGCGTGCCACGGCAATGGGAACCAGCAGAGGTGAGGGAAGTGCGTGAGCCATTCCACTGCTTGTGGATGTTTGGATCTTACGGACTGAAATGCTGTACAATGGAGTAGTTGGTGTTTGTGGGTATCATATTCCTTACACCATGGACAACTTGGGTCTTCTTGTGCGTGCCATTGTGCGATGGCTCCATGTGATTGCCAACCGGAGGTCAGGGTGAGTGCGAGTATCCGTCTTTGTCTATCTGTCAGCGTTGCAAGCACTTTGTGGGTTGTGTGTGAGTCGAATGGCATCAATGGAACCCCCTTCCTATGCACGATGAGGGCTTGGCAGTGCCAGTCCCAGGCAATACGGGCTTGCTTCTTTATCTGTTTATTGGAGGTATATGGTAAGTGAACTCTGAGGCCACCCGGTCCGATGAGCGTGGCCTGGTCTGTTATTTCCCATTGGAGTTTGCTGAGGTACGAGGCTAGGGTGGTGGCTGGGCCCTTCACCGTGCCGTCGAATTGGCGGATGAGTTGAATGAACTGCCAGGCTAATTTAGAGTTATATGAGAAAAGGCGTCTTAGTGTAGTTAGGAGGTCAGTGACTATGTACAGAAGTGGATCTTGGATGTGCGGCGAGAGGTAATGCAATGCGACTGGACTGGAAGCATGTTTATGGTCGCCTACTAGGACCGAGGCTGCTGCGCGTCGCAAATTAGTGAAGTGCTTGTCGCCGATGGTGAGGCCTAAAGCCCCGTAGAATGTCGCTGGCCAGATGGCAATCTGGATTTTTTCAGCACGTTGGTCCAAACTGAGGTTCAATTTCTTAAGTCTGTTGCACTTAGCTATGGCATTGTCGATTTTGTCTCTAAGGGGTCCTAATACGACCTGATTATTGTACGAGATCATGCACCCTAGGTCATGGACATGGTTCTTGATTTTAAATTGGAAATCAGGTCGAGGTATGAGTGCTGAGGCTTCTCTCCAAAATTGTTGTAGTCCTTTAGTTGTCGCCCAGCACCAAGATTTATCAAAATCAATTTGCATGCGAAGGTCATGAATCAGGTTGAGAATACGAATCATTGTTCTGAAACTGGCACGTTCTGATGTAGACATGAATGACCAGTTATCTGCGTATGCGAATGGGAATACTTGGGGATTGGCTATGCAACAGTGGAAGACGTAGCTCAACGCCATCATTCCCACTACGGACATTGAGTCACCCTCGGGAAGTCCGGTGGTGGAAACTTCGGGCGAGCCTAGTGTTAGTCCACACTGCAGAACTCTTGTGAGGCGTCGGAGGGACAAGAACCAGAAGTCAACTGTGGTTGTGGGTAATCCGAGGCGGCAGAAAATGAAGCGGATCACCCTTCGGGGAATCAAATTAAACGCCTTGACAAGATCCATGGTCCATCCGCACCAGGCAGTCCTGTGCGTTTTGGCCATTTCTATCTGGGCTTGCTGTAACAGGCTTAAATCCCTGGCCGAACGGCATGGGAGGCCACCGCTGATTTCTGGTGGCCACTGACGAGCCCATAAACTTAAGACTTGGTCTGAGACCATTTTTGAGGAAAGACGCGCCATGTATCCTAAGATAGTAATGGGTCGTCCGTCGGAAATAGACATAGGTCGATCACGCTTTGCGAAAAGCAACGTTCTGGCTTGCATCATTTGGGTAGAGAGGCCTAGATGCCATGCAGCGGCAAAAACTTTAGTGAGGTCTTCTACCATGGGGAACGTAAGGAGTTGCAATTCCTCGGCATGCCACCCATCGATGCCTATAGCTTTGTGTGGTTTGAGTCGGTGTATGGCTGAACACCACAACTTAGGGTTATCATATGGAATGGCAACTGGTGGCTGTTGTGGTATTATATCTGCTATGTGGTCAAAGAGGTCTTGCCATTTATTGTCGGCAATCTGGTCCTGGAGCCAAAATTGGGACCAATAACTGTGGAAGACTCGGGACATGGTTTGTGTCGTATATGCATGGGCTGGATAGGTTAAAGTAGCATGTGTCGGTAGGTGGCCTTGGACATTAGTAATTCGAAGCTCGCTTGCTTGTGCGGATACAACTGTGGCAGAGCATGTGCCGAATGTTACTTGTACACCCGGTGGAAGGGTGATCGGTTCTGCCACCCTCAACTGAGCTGCGCCCTTTTGGCCGCGACAAAGGACGGCTGGCATATGTTGGGTATATGGTATATCGTGCAGGAATTTCTGCTCTTTGCCCCTAATGAATTTATATGCCTTGGAGTTGTTATTATGTTGGATGGCAAATTCAAGAGCATGTTTGTGATGATGGTAGCGGAGCCTTGCTTCCTGACGTACGAAAGTATCTGCTTCATATTTTGTTAGCTGCAGCGCATCGGTAAGCCACTCTATGGAGGGCAGTGACTCGGGCACGAAGGCAAAGACCTCGAATCCGAGGAGCCATGCTGTCCATGAGCGGC